AGAGAGAAGAGAGAGAGGAGAGAGAGAGAGAGAGAGAGAGAGAGGAGAGAGAGGAGAGAGGAGGGAGAGAGGAGAGAGAGAGAGAGAGAGAGAGAGAGAGGAGGAGAGAGAGAGGAGGAGAGAGAGAGAGAGAGAGAGAGAGAGAGAAAGAGAGAGAGAGAGAGAGGGGAGTAGAGAGGAGAGAGAGAGAGAGAGAGAGTCCAGTTGACTGGCTGTCCCTCAGCCCAACTTTGAGAAGAGAGAGAGAGAAGAGAGGAGAGAGAGAGAGAGCAGTTTCGAGAGAGAGGATCTCAGCTTTGTCCTAGCACTACGAGGACACTGTTGACTACGTGACCACCGCGCTGCGATGCAAAATGAATCCTTTGTTCCACAAACGTCGGATTGCTCACCGCTCGATCTGAAGAAACCGTCTTACTCGACGTCCTGCGGTGGTTCTGCGCTGGGTCGTCCTCAGGCTGTTCGGCTTGTGCGGATGACTGGCTCATCTCTAATCTTGCAAGTCTTGTCTACGATAAGAGGATTGGTCTCGAGTTAGCATGAACATCCGCACCGAATTCGCCACGTCATTTCGCGCTGAGGCCTTGCATCGATTGCGGCGCTGTCGACGTGCAAGACCTGGGAAGGTATCGGACTCCTAATGTTTCCGCCGGCAGGAGTGTGCGCATGATTTTCGTACGGAGAGGAATGGCACAAACATCTCCATTGATTATACAGATGCATTCAAAATTCACTCCCCAGCCTGTACGTTTTCGTGCGTTGGTGCCATTAGCAAGGGCACGTGTTCCGTGACCCCCCACCACCCGTCCATGGGACGCCGCTGCTTGAGCCCGACAAAGCGGGAGAACAGAGACAGGGCCAAGAGGCGGTCCCCCGCATGCCGATGCGCAATCGATACCGCGCGAACAAGACCGCATGACGTCAGCCGGCGGGCTGAAATATGGGCGCTGTGCGGCGCATCTGTGCACGCGCTGATTGCCTGGGAGACGGGTCAGTTGGCCGTTATTGGCTTGTCCTGAGGCCGGCTGGAACACCCGCCCTCTGCCGCGCCATGCCCGGATACCCGTCTAGGCAGGCCGTGTCGATGGTAACGAGAATTGTGTCTTCGGCTTCCAGCACGCCGGGCTGACGCGCGTGTTCCAACTCGGCGAGAGGCCTGGGTTGCCTGGTCTGGGTGGCCTGGCCTGGGTGCTTGCTGGTCGGTGAAGCTGACCGTTGAGCGGTGTTTACACGCGCCCGATTTAGTGCCCGCACACGTGCCCGCTGCCTGCTTGATGGTGCTAAGCAGAAAGAAGTTGGAGAGCGATCGTGGGCCTAGAATTTGAGTTGTGATTGCCTTTAATTCGCCATCCGTCCTGACGGCGTTGAAGGCCTCGTCCATTTTCACTGAAACTCATAGGCAAATGACGCCAGGGCCTTAAAATTTTCACCACTCCTCAAAAACTAAGGCACATTTCTTGTAAAAAATGGGGTTTCCGTTCAGAATGGGTCAGGTCACAACAACGTAATCAGTTTGACCCACAGTCCTACCAGTTGATTCGCACGGAAACATTCATTCTCACCACCAAATGAAGTGACAGCACGGCTCAAAGGCGCTGACCGTCCGCCCCTTGCAGCTGGTAGTTGGCTGACTGTCAACTGAGTCAGCATGTGGAACGTCTGCCATAATTTTTGCTAACGATGTGACCACGCTTTTAATTCTGGTATATCGATGGCTTGATGTCCTCAGGTTTGTTTTGATGACCTCACCTACCAGCTGAGTGAGTCAGAAATGGCCAACGATATGAAATATAATTCGCAAGACACTAAACTCGTGGGAACCGCATTTAGTCGACCAATTTATTTTTCTTTAAAATGTTGTCATGGTCTACCGTATTAGTACAATAGGCTCGGCATTGCAGAAACACCTCAGGGTTGTCGAAGACATAGAGCGGAAGGGATCCGATCTATGTCTTCGACAACCCAAGTGCACGCTACCAGATCGCACGTGTTACAGCACAGTTGGATCCACTGGGTGACATTTGTCAGAGTTCCTGCCCTAACTTCCAGCTGTCGTCATGGCGGGCAACTCTCCGCTTGTTGTGTGATGTACCCGTGTTGTGCTCTCCCGGACCATCCGCTGCTGCGGCACCCCCTGTGAGCGCGTCTCCTAATATGATCAGCTTGACAGTCACCCCACTAAGGACACGTGGACGCCCAGTGCGACTTAGGCATCATAACGGCCCTCCTAGCAAGATCAGCGCGATGATGCTATGCAGAGCTATGCTGCTATATAGCTGTGCCCTCTGTCTGTCCGGTACGAGCAAGCACAGAAATGCAGCTGAATCGCATGTATTCGAACAGTGTACGATGGTTGGTTATGAGCTATCCGAGTGAATAAGGAGAAACACTCACGGGTGTCGGGGCACAGCGCCGTGCCCTGCACCGGAGGTCGCGTCGTCAGCATTGTACCATAGCGTCGTGTGCCCAGAAAATTCATTTAATAATCTCCCATTTCTTAACTTGTTTGGGTTTCATTAGCCCTTCGTGTATCATTCGGCCCCGAACAGAAGCTGCTACTTCACTACCACGTTTGATGCTGTGCACTCGAGCTTGGTACCAACAGCCGCCGGAACCGCTGTCTCAAGCAGTGGCTCGTCCCGCGGCGTTTATTCTTAGGTAATGGGTCGAACCATTGGTGTCAACCACAGTGGTCTGCTCGATGGTTGTACGGGGTCGCTGCAGTGGGGGCCTGCACCGGCTTTCTCTCGCTTTGGGCAAGGTGCCGACTAGCCGCTTAATCCACTCCGCCCAGCACTGCTTGCTCTTGACAGGATTTGTGCTTCTAACGGCACTGGTGTGATGCATATAAAGTCATCCGCATGAATGTTAATGCATGGGGAGGTAACTGGATTAATTTCTACGCGATAATTTCCTTTGTCCCTGGAGGATACAGGCCATTCAGGAAGACCCGTCCGGAAATAACACGTGGTGCTCTCTTCATTGTGATTGTTGGTAGTGTCTGTGCCGCTACAGATAAAGCCACTTCCTACATGTGATTGCTGTCACGCCGTGTACCTCTACGGATGAGTCCAGTTCGTACATGGTCACCGGATGTATGTCAAGCGTCTGCTGTCCAAAACATACCCATGCATGGAAGAAGGTGTTCGGCAGGCTTGTAAATCTAATGCCGCGGACGGGTCAAATATTGTATTGCATTGCGTCTTTAACGAGCTGGTGTCACTACTTTACACGATGTTAGGCCCAGGTTACTCTACGGACTATGGCCAATGGACCCTGCAAAAGCATATGTCATTGCCGAAAGGTTAGCGTGTCCGGTAGCGTAAGCTTCAAATGATGGATCACGTTGTATTCATGGGAACTTAATAGCACCTTTGTGCCCTTTGAAAATAAATGTTGTGATGGAAAGAACGGAAACAATGCTCATTGCGCGGAACGAAAGCCAAGCCGGGCGTTATATGGTGCATTTATTGGGAAAGGGACGGATTTGCTCACTGTAACTTATGCTTTTGTTTTCAGCACCTTTCAGCAAGCTCTCAGGGGTCTGAACGTTTCCGTGAAGCGTGCAATGGGATAATGGGGTTGGTGGGGGTTAAAGGTGGGCATTCTCAAGTGGTACAAAACCGCATCCACGGCCGAGGAATTAAAACCCTACAGGCAGATAGCGTAGACTGGATGGCCAGTCCATATGCCACCTCTATCTGTTTATGCTGTTTGGCAAACTGCTTCACGTCACACGCAATCTTCCGACCCACTCTCAGAACACTAATGACAGCTGTCAGCAACACCATCTTAACATCCACTAGGCACTTCAACCCAAGCAGCATGATGCCACCCATTATAAGCTCACTGGTTGGGTTCTTGCAACACACTGTTTGCAAGAAACGATGCTAAGAATACGCAAACCAAATACCACAAAAGCTGCGCATACAATCTCTCCATTTTGCTGTCTTTTGTTGCTATTTTTTTCGCCAGTTTGCCTACCACCCACGATATCCCTGCTTTTAAAAACTGCACGTGAGGTCTTATGGTGCAACACTGGATTTCCGGAAATTTTCAGATCAAATGCTGCTTGTCCGACAGTGTCCAACCGTATATTCGTTGCGATTAAAAATGACCTGCGACCTCCTAAAAATGCTTTCATAACCAGAGATCTTAAGCACGATATGATCATGCTTGAAACTGAGTGGAGAAACTCCCCGGTTTATGGGCTGACACCAGTGTGGCATCAATGCTGTCTCTAAACCGGACGTTAGAGTTTCGCTTCGTTCCCACCCAAAACTCACGCGAAGCCTTGGTCTATTGGCCTTGTCTCCACTTCAAAGCAAGTTTCACCGAATACGAGTCAGTTCCGATGGCCTGGCCGTCTCACCTTCAATGCGTGTTAGGCGACTGCGGCCACCGGCTCACGGTCACTGGTCCAGGGCCACATATCTGGGTCCTGGCCGAACGGGGTCCGCTCTATGTTTGCCCGAATCCATGCGTGCTCTGTGTCTCCCCGTGCTCTGTGTCTCTCCGGGCTCTGTATATCGCCGCGCTCTGTATCTCCCGTGCTCTGCGTCTCCGCGTGCTCTGTGTCACCCCGTGCTCTGTGCCTCCCCGGGCTCTGTATCTCTCCGTGCTCTTTGTCTCCTCGTGCTCTGTGTCTCCCCGGGCTCTGTACCTCCCCGTGCTCTGTGCTTCCCCGGCCCCTGTGTCTCCCCGTGCTCCGTATATCCTCGTGCTCTGTGTCTCCCCGTGCTCTGTGTCTCCGCGGGCTCTGTATCTCTCCATACTCTGCGTCGCTCCGTGCTCTGTGCCTCTCCGGGCCCTGTGTCTCCCCGGGTTCTTTATCTCCCCGTGCTCTGTGCCTCCCCGGGCCCTGTGTCTCCCCGGCCTCCGTGTCTTCCGTCTGCCTCTGCTATGTCTCCGGCTCCGGTGTCTGTAACAGTCCGTATGGAGTCTGTGTTTGCCGGGCTGATGGCGGCCGCGCGTCTGATCCAACGCGTCTCTGTTCTCTGCAGCTGGATCATCCCACCATCGTGTTGTCGCCGCCGAGTCGGCGCCACACGCCCGAGGTCAGCCGGTGACCTGGCGCCGGCCGGCTGCCCCAGCCTAGCCCGGCTCTGCCGACCCGTGGTCAGCGCCTGGGGCACGTCCAGTGCCGCCGCCATGGACAGGTGAGACAAGCCCAGCCGGACGCCGAGCCCTGACCCGGCTCTTCTGCAGACCACAGGCTCCAGCTCCCCACTGACTTATGGCAGATGCCCTGTGGTGTCACCGACATGAGCCAGTGAAGAACGCCCTCGATTCCAAATATAACACCCACAGAATCAGCTGATATAGCCCATGGAGACCATTAAGACTTTAAGCGTGCAGGAATGGCGCACTCGAATGCTATGTAGAGTTAAAACAGTTATTGAGAACGATTAGTGACCAGTGGTCTATAGCTAATGACATTATCAATCGCACCATTTATATGAGCTCAAGACTTACCGATATGCCGGACATATCATACCGTCAACAGCGCATCGACCGTTGCTATGCGCTACGATGTTAGCACCGACGACTTGCTTGTTAGCAAACACACTGAGTGCCCCTCTCGACAGAGTTGGGAATGGGCTTGGGTCGTGACGTTATAGGTGAAAAGGACCTTACTCCGAAATAGGGAATGGAATTTCGTGCAACTCTCAAGTACATGTGAGCCAATGCCCGGCTGGGCTGAACCGGGTGAGTGCCAGAGGCACGTCCCGTGCCGTTGTCAAGGATAGGTCATACGAGGCGCTGCGGCGCGCGGTTGGTGCTGGTATTTTTCCTACTGGAGTCATCTGCAACATCGCGCGCAGGATCGTCCACTAATGTTTACTTGACATTCCGGCTCGGTATCTCACTTCACTTGGCCCGTCAAAATCACGTCATGCTTCGCTCATCTCAACTGGTTTGAAAACCAAATTTGCTTATAGGCGAGCAACTTGTGTTCCTGCTCCCGTTCGGGTATGCTTGGGAACATTTGTATCGCAGCTTATTCACTTGAGGGCTCCTGGAAAGGAAACAGACTGGTGTTTTTGCTTCTTATCGCCGTGCGAATATTGATAAACTCATGCATTTGGCCACCATGCGCGCACGATATCATACCGTGCGTACTCCATGCCGTGTGGGCTAGCAGGCAAACAGCCGCACGCGGGTGCTATCTCCTGCAAGATACTGGCCTGCAGGCATGACCCGTTACCCTTCTGCTGCACTGTTGTTGTGCTGAGCGCGTCCTGTCCTGGCTCCTATTTGAAATGACGCCATCAGTTTGTAATAAGGCGCTCGGTCTCACGGTATGGTTATGTGATCCTGTCATTATTCTATGCCAGTGGAAACCGGCAATTCGCGAGATGTACAGTGGATTGATTTCACCACATGTTCTGTTTCTGCACAAATAACCAGGGATGTGGTTTCCGATCCAGTTAGAGGGCTTTAGTCCCCTGCCCCCAAACGTGGGCTCCAGTCCCCCAACTGTGAGAAGAAAATGGGTCAAATCCGGGGAGAAAGCCTGGCAAAAGTCAACAAGAAAACTAATGCTGCATTATGGGCGATACGTTGATCACGTCCGATTGGCAACGGGCCAAATATGTTTTAAGACTTTTTTAATGAGAAAGCTTCTCTCCCATTGATCACACTTTAAGCACAGCACAATGCATTGAGTTGAGTGAAGCATTTATTGGGGATGTTGATTTGGACTTTGCGCTACCTCTTTGCCGAACAAAGTGTTGAAATCACCCCTTCGTCCGAAGTTCGAAATGGTCTCCAATAGGCGCCGTCAGCCAGCCGAATTGATGCTCTAAGATGTGCATAAATTGTCTGAGCATCAATAAAATAAGCATACAATGGCAATCCATGATTGACAGGTGCAGGACGGCGTGCAGAAATAGCCTAGAACTTGGAGGCTACCAGTCCATTTGGTGAATATGTATGAGGTAAACAAAGTTAACGTCTTGCAATAATTTCCTTTGTTACGTTGACTGATATCCAAAAAGCTCTTAACATGATCTCTGATATTTTCTACACATATAAGTACTCATGCAAATAGAGCATGGGTCCGTAGGAAAAAGGTTGTGCCTACTGACGTGGAATTCAGACTACAATTCATATTGCAATAAAGTATACGCACCCGCACGCCTCGCACATTGAGCTGGTAACGTGTCTGTGCCGTGCCTCACCACTCTGTCGAGAGCATGCTGTTGGGTACAGCTGGCGTCCAGCCATGGTCTGGGGCCGTCCCATCAGCAGGTCACGCCGCTGGACCGTAACCACAGCTGTCGTCCCGCGGGCGGCACCGATAACCGCAGCTGTCGTCCTGCGGGCGACACCGATAACCGCAGCTGTCGTCCTGCGGGCGACACCGATAACCGCAGCTGTCATCCTGCGGGCGGCACCGATAACCGCACCTGTCGTCCTGCGGGCGACACCGATAACCGCAGCTGTCATCCTGCGGGCGACACCGATAACCACAGCTGTCGTCCTGCGGGCGGCACCGATAACCGCAGCTGTCGTCCTGCGGGCGACACCGATAACCGCAGCTGTCGTCCTGCGGGCGGTACCGATAAACGTAGCTGTCGTCTTGCGGGCGGCACCGATAAACGTAGCTGTCGTCTTGCGGGCGGCACCGATAAACGTAGCTGTCGCCTTGCGGGCGGCACCGATAAACGCAGCTGTCGTCCTGCGGGCGGCACCGATAAACGCGGCTAGGGCCGGCAGAGGGCTTTCGCCAGGCTGCAGTCACAGAACAGCTGGGCACTGCGGGCGGGCCCAGCCTCCCGTCCAGCAGCAACGGTGGTCGGGCGGCGGCCTAGCAGGGGCGGGCAGCGGTCCAGCGAGGGGCGGGCAGCGGCCCAGCGGGGGTCGGGCTGCGCTCTAGCAGGGGTTGGCGGCAAGGATGAAAAGCCTTCCCATTTACCGGATATAATCGTTGACAAAAATGGACACTTCTGCGAGCATGTGGTGACAACATTGCGGAAATGGAAATGAATCAAAACACACCATCCCAGTAGGCCGAAGTCAAAGCTGGTCTGAACCCGCTAGCGTTTGTAGCGTAAACTGACGTAGAGCGTATGTCGAAACAGTCACGTTTTGCTGTATGAGCAAGTTGTGCCACAAAGTTCTTCCAAGCATAGTGGCTTTAACCAGTATAGTTTTTTTTTAGCAAATGACAGAAATATACTGCAATGCACGCCATGCAAGTGCTGGCGTCACAGATCAGTCGCGACAGAGTGCTTTTCCAATGCCCCTCAGGTTAGTGTTTTTCACATACTTTTCAACCAAGATTTTCTTCACGGACTAAAGAGTCTATAATACAAAAGTACAAGGCATTTTACTAGTCGCAAGAAACGTGACTGGCGTCAGCACCTAGCGACAAGCGTGATCGGTGCTACCCTGCGCTTTAAAGCGTGAGTAGCACTTTTTTACAGCACCACTTTAAAGCGCTTTAAAGCGTCGCGCCGTGGGAGAAGCACACCGACTTAAAAGACTTGCCAATCGTCATTTTCTTGGAGGCTCCGTGCGACCCTTCTTAGGATCTACCAGGGAAGGCGTCTCTGGTAATAGCGTTAAATAAGCCATGCCAATCTAGAAGACTAGTTGCTTGCGCGTACCCGAGCTGTAGCGTCAAAGGCCAACGGAGGGCGTTAGAATGACACATGCCAAGGATTCATCTAGGGCTTCCTCCTGCTGGAAGGAGCGGCGGCTTTGGGGTAAAAGGCTGAGCATCGCTGATGAAGGCCTCTCACGCTGTACGTTGCGCTTCAGATTAAATGACCTGGCAGGCGGACAGGCGTGTGACACATAATCAAAGTTGATTTTATTTTCATGACGCACTTTTTTCGAGCTAGGATCAGGGGCGCAGTTTCCCAAAATTAGTTTGGGGTTTGACCACCAGAGCATGATAAATGATAAAAAATGATGAACACGAAATGATAAATAAAAAAGGGAACCACATCCCTGGTTAGAAAGCACAGTCCCCTAGCCAAATAACACGCCACGCCCCTGTGGAGCTACTTGTGTTAAGCATGCCTTTATCTGATAACTTTATTAGATTAGCATAAACCATAGTTTAGTGTTTGATGGATTGATTAAAGGGAATCTTCACATTTGGTGATAGTGAGATAAGCATCAAATATGATGGAAAAAGCTTACTTGTAACTGTCGGTAAGCTTTCAAAGCTCAAAAACGAGCCAAAGTAGCAACATTTCAAGGATATTAAAATGCGCCCCACTACGTCATTGCCTGATGGCGTCATGGAATCGTTTTGCGGCGACAGCAATACCTGGCAGCATCTGGCAGCCAGGCCTAAAGAATACCTCGAAACGCACGAAAGCTGACGCCAAACGGCTATTCTCATCGCGGATGCCGTGTTGGGTGGCAGATTAGTGAATGGCTTGCTTGGGTTTTTTCCTGTTACTGGTCGTAACAAAAACTTTGGTGAGCTGTTTGACATACGCAACGTAGTGACTGCCGACTTTTAGGGCAGATTATTCATATCAAAGCACGGTATGCCATGAAGACTCTTATAGCGTCGTGAATCTGTTACCGAAACCTGCCAAGGACCGTTGATGATGTCAATACCGTGTTGTCGACTCATCATTGTCTGCAATGCTGTAGCTCTGACACTGATACCATGTGATGTGCACAATAGTTACGTTCATTATTATTTGTAACTGGATATGCAGTTGCACGCTAAAATTAAAAAGTCTGTGACATTGCTATGAATCGATTGTCAAAGCATTGTTATTTCTATCGTGTGGATGGTAAAGTTGAGCTGCCAGGAATGTCTTTCTTGCTTACGATTACTTATGCAATCACTAGTTAACTCTGATATAATCATTGTGGTGCAAGAGCATTCTAGCTGGTGATAGTCCTTTGGCGTTGTTAAATCAGTTGTTGCAGTCATTCATAAATTTTAAGGTGTTATCTCAAGGGCTTCACATAGAGTAGTCAACCAATGTGCTACATTGTGAGTGCGGCATGGAATAATGAACAATGATGCCATTTTTTGCACTGCAATCCCTGCTGCTTTCATAATAAATTTTATCATGAAAAGATGGGTCAAGCGTGCATTCTTGCGTTAACTCTTGTATC